ACATATCTGCCAAACTTGGGGGTGGCAGAATGTTTTTTAACTGCAATAAATATTGACCACAGGAGCAGCCAATCCACACAACTTCTTTCAGTACATTAGGAGGGGTGTTCTGGGCCCCCACTGAAGTCCTGTCATCCAACAACAACAACAAAACAACAGCATAGAGTCCCTGCCAGGTGTCACACAGGACAGGAAGGCAAGAACCAGGGAAAGCAGATAATGGAGGAGAAGATTTGTTCTTGCTCCCCTTCTAACTCACCAGTATGCTTGGAGAAGGTGATCTCGCTATCATCTTGGGCCTCCATGCCTTCCTCCACTCCCTCATCTTCCTCATCTGCCTCCCAAGCACCCTGTTCTTCATCAAGATCCACATCTTCCATCTCATCAGCGAGATCATCTGTCGAAAAAGAAAAAAAAATAGAGAGACTTAGCATAAAGCTCTTACTTCACAGTATCATTGCAATGTATCTGCTGTATCTCACACAAAATAAAGTTTGGAGGAAGAGGAAGATGCTCCTTAAAGGTCTACACACCAATCCAAAACCAGAGATCAAGAATTTCTATCTACAAATAATTCAGATCCTGTGCCCTTCCTTGCCATGAGGCTTAGAAATGTTGCCCTGATCAGCTTAAAAAACACGTGCCTGCTTCTTTTTGTCTTAATTTCCCCTCCTCATCCCCATCTTCCATGTTTGTTTTGACATGAGAGCAGGGACTGCCATGTTTACTGATAACCAAGAAACTGACAAAACCACCTCTAAAGATTCCTTGCCAAATAATAATAATAATAATAATAATAATAATAATAATATAATAAATTTTATTTATAACCCGCCCCTCTGCTCGGCAATCGGGGCAGCGTACAACAGATTAAAAATACAACAAATAAAACAATTTCTACCTCCCACCTCTTACCCACCCAGCCCTTAAAACTGAATTAAACCATGATAAAGTTAAAAACAAGCCGAGATAAAATACAATACAGCAGGTCACCTTCACAACCTCACAATATCAACATTACAATATTTCAACATATGAATATCAATATTCAATATTTCAATATTTCAAGCCGGGCGGTTATTGCGGGAAAACCTTATGAAATTCACAGGGTCGCCATAAGTCGGCCAGTGGCTTAGAGCCTATCCAGCTGTAAAGGCAAAAGAATGATGGAGATATAAATAGGCAGACAGATAACCCCATTGTTCCCCAGGACAGGGACCTGTCTACTTGATTCCCAGTAAGCAGCACACATAGAGGAGTAAAACATAAACAAATGCTTTGTCCTTACCCCATTCCTTAAAAGAAGGGAATCTAGTCCATTAAATCCTCTGATTTCCAACTTAGTGTAGCTGATAGGAAGAGAATCAACTCATTTGAGATTTGGTGTTGGAGAAAAGTACTGAGAATATCGTGGATGGCCAAAAAGGCAAACAAATGGGTCCTCAAGCCTGAACTCTCCCTGGATGACCAAACTGAGGCTGTTGTAACTTTGCCACATTATGGGGATAAATGATCCATCAGAAAATGCAATGATGCTAGGAAAGATGGAAGGCAGTAAAAAGAGAGGAAGACCACACACCAGATGGATAGACTCAATTAGGGAGTTCATGAGCCTGAATCTACAAGACCTGAGCAGAATAGTGGAGAATAGAGGGATTTGGAGGTGCCTCGTCCACAAGGCTGCCTGCCATGAGTTGAATTTGATTTGAAAGCTGTGAACAACAACAACAACCCCTTCCCAAAAACCAGTGTGAAAAAGCACTCCATCATGAATCCCTCTCCTCATGTGAGCTAAAGCTTTTACTCCACGACATGGGAAGAAGAAGAAACAGTGCAAAAATCACCAATCTGCAAAAGTACGGTCAGAACTAGGGTTCACCACTAGAGATGGAGAACGGGTTAATTAAGTCTGAATCTTCATACAGATTTATCTAATTGACAATTTCTTAACACACGAAACACCTAACACACACCAGTATACTGAAATTCATACTTTTTTTTCTATTTTGTAATACAGTTCTCCAGTCAAACACAGACTGAATCTTCATACAGATTTATCTAATTCTCAACATAATTTGTCAACATAGTAAGCAAGCTAATGTACACTAGGGTACTGAAATTCATACTTTCTCAGATACTGCGCTATTTGTACGCCAGCCAAAAACAGGCATACAAATATGTCCAACTTTATGGGAAAGGATTTGGCTTGAAAGGAGAAGAGTTGTCCCATAATTGTATTGGTAAAGATGCAAAGCAATGGTTCCCAAACTTTGGCACTCCAGATGTTTTGGACTTCAGCTCCCAGAATCCCAGACCAATGGTCAAGATGGTTGAGGCTTCTGGGAACTGAAGTCCAAAACACCTGGGAATTTGGGAATCATTGATGTAAAGACATAAAGAGGTATGGAAAAATGTGTAAATGTGTGAGCATATGGGGAAAAAATTTTAAAAAAGAAAAATGAGAAAAAATAAATAAAAAGGGGAACATAAAGGGGGACACGTGACCCTCTTAGCCCCATTCCTTTGTTTCACATGACCCCTGAACTCCTGTGTCAGCCCTTTTTGCCCCCTTATCAGGAATGGAAAGATATGCAAATGTGTGAGAATATTGAAATTTAAAAAATTAATAATGAGAAAATAAAAATTAAGAGGAGGGGGGAGTTATTGGAACAAGTTATTTTCATTGTATTTATGTGTTCTACCAATTTTTGTGTATTCTACAAAAAAAAGAGAGTTGGCAATCAATCAAAAATTCTTCTCTGTATTGAAAACTGTTGACCACATCTGTGCAAGCAGTATGTGTAAAAAGATATTTTGGGATAAGAAAACAGAATAGGTAACATCTCATCCTTTTAATAAAAATGTTGTGAGGATATGGAAAATAAAAAATGAATAATGAGAAAAAGAAAAAGAAAAAGGGGGGAGCAAGTTATTGGAACAAGTTATTTTCATTGTATTTGTGTGTTCTGCCAAAATTTGTGTCTTCTACAATAAAAAAAGAGTTGGCAATCAATCAAAAATTCTTCTCTGTTGTGCAAGCAGTCTGTGAAAACAGATACTTTGGGATAACAAAAACAGAATAGGCAGCATCGTTTTTGTTAATAAAAATGTGGATATGGAAAAATAAAAATTAATAATGGGGGGGGAACAAAAAGGAGTGGGACACGTATCTCTCTTAGCCCCATTCCCTTGTTTCACACGACCCCTGAACTCCCGTGTCAGCCCTTCCTGCCCCTTACCGGGTCCGGGGGGCTCCAGGTCTACCACTTCCACGATCTCCTCGGCCTCCCCTTCCCCTTCCCCGCCGCCTGCCATGAGTAAGAGCGCTGGCGACCCCTCTGGGGCCGGCTCCAGCCCTGCTCCGTCCCCAGGCGCCGCCATGCTGCCTTCCACACACGCCTGACACGGATCTCCTCCTCCATTTGGGGAAGAGGCGGGGCTAACGTCCCAGCACCAATCACTATAGGAGGGGAAAGCCACCCTAGCCAATCAAGACCGTCCTGATGAGTCCCTTTCACGTCCGAGCTGGGAGTTAAGCGCAGCCTCCATTTTCTCGTTGCCTCTGGTTCCCAGCTGCCGAAGGGAACCATGGGAGTTGTAGTCGCAAGGCTCCCCAAGGCTCTACTGAACCTGGCTCAGGAAGGGAATAGACTGAAAGAGAGCCTTCTCCAAAATGGCGGCTGCTTGTCTCCGAATGCAGGGTAGGGAGGGAAGGAGGGGAGCATAACCCTAAGGATGCAGAAATTAGTCCGGTTTGACACCGCTCTAACTGTCATGGCTCAAGGCTATGGATGGCTGGGGGTGGTAGTGTGTGGTTTTGGTGCCAGAATTCCATAGCATAGAGCCGTGACAGTTAAAGCGGGGTCAAACCGGACTATTTCTGCCGTGTGGATGTAGCCTAGGTTGTCTATGCAATGGATATCTCAGGTTTGGAGGCTGGGAGGTCAGGGATTGAGAGGTGGCGGTTGTCGTTGTTATATATATTTTACTACATTTTTAAAAATACATATAGACATACATACATATATTCTGACATTA